TTTAAGAGTTTAAGAGTTTTAAGAGTTTAAGAGTTTTTAAGAGTTTAAGAGTTTTTAAGAGATTTAGCCAAATGCTTTATAATATAGTATAGATAAATCATAGGAATGAAACATGTAACTTAATAGTGTTGTTTGTTTTTTAATAGATGTCGAAGTCTGAAGTCTTATTTCACTTCTGATTTATAAGAGGTGGTGCTGAAGTCTGAAATCTGAATCAATAAGACTGTTTGTTTTTTTAAACTGATAAACGTTTGAATCTGTCTAAATTGCCAATTTCACCCATTAAGTGTTGACTTTATAGATAAAATTTATACAATTTCACATATTTATTCATCATCATTACAAAGTTTACGTCTAAATTATATAATTAACATTTATTCAAATGAAACTATATCATTAACGGTATTTAACACATTTAAATACATCAATTGAGAGAGGTAAAGATTGATTTGATAATAATCGATTGAGGAAAATGATCGATTAAGATTAATCGATTGAAAAGACGTTGTTGTTGAGGGTTTTGAAGAATAATAAAAGATAAATAAGAAGTTGGTTTACCTCTTATTAGATAAGAGAATAATAAGACATAAGTGTCTGTAAAAGATTGGAAAAAACAAACAGTCTGAACGTCCTTATCTCTTCAGATATAAGATATAAGATATTAATAAGAGTTTTTTTCATAAAAAATAAACAAGACCTTACTCTATGTTTAATTTCAATAAGTTGTGTACATAATTTTGTCAACTACACATTCTATTTATAATCAAGTTATTTTGTCACATGTAAACGGATTTGAGCAATTTCAAAGTTTATGACAATAATTATATTCAATTTCAAAAAACTAAAGTTTCTAGATGATAAAGTTTAAGAATATGTTTTCATATCGAAATTGTATTAACACATGATGACTTTTCTCTCATAGGCACTGTTCAAAAACGCTCGTTGCAACCGTCTTGGCACGCAGTGGCTTAAAGCTTGTGCTTCATACCATGTCAAGTCTGTGATATGCGGCATGCCATGGTCTAATGCAAGGTTTTTTTGTAAGACAACATTTGATTTTTCTTATCATTTTAATGCCTTATTTGTTAGTTTAAAATATATATATAACTTAATTTAAATTGTTCATTATCATTGACTCATTGAGAAATATTAGAAAACGTATGTTTATATATAATATTATATATAATATATATACGTTACACCTAGAAAAAATGGTGGCTTCCGTGGCTACAGACTACAGATTATGAGCTATGACTATGATAGGTGTTATGCGAATTGTTCAAATTTTGTAGGTGGTCTCAAAAATCTTTTGTTGTTTGTAATTTTGATGGTTTCTCTTCTTATTCAATTATAATTTTCAAAAAAGAAAATAATTGTGAATGATAGAAATCATATATGAAACAATGAGAAGAGAACAATAGAATAAAAATAAAACAACACGACAAACAGAAAAATTCCACATTAATTAACAACGATAAGTTACATTTATACCATTAGCCTTTTATTAGAGAAGGGGTAAAACAAGCTCACAACGAACAACACAAGCTGTCGGAATTCTTATAGAATTCGGTGGCTTCTTAGATTTTTCATTATCACATTTATCTACGGAACCAATAAACACCACTTTTCTCTGCACCTTCATCTGGTTCCACAAAAATACATTCCTTTGTTTCTCTCCAGAAAGCCTTTAGGATGGGTGTATCATCGTACTTGTAGTAGTCACCTAAGATGGGCTTGACAGCATTGGTGGCCTCTACAGTATGGTAATGCGGAATAGTTGAGATCAGATGATGCACCACATGAGCACAAGTTACATCATGGAAAACAGTGTTTAAAATTCCGTAGTTTCTATCGACCGTCGATAGAGCACCTCTTATCCAATCCCACTCTCTTGAATCGTAGTGAGCAAGGGAAGGATGGCTATGATGCAAAAAAGTGAAGAAGATGAAATGAGCGTTCATAACCAGCAAAGGAGCTCCGTAGATGCAAAACAACCATGTTGCACCGGCGGTTGCTGCAACCTTGTAAAGTGCATAGATGGCTACAAGCATTCCAGCATCAGAGAGCCAAACTAGTTTGCGCTCGCTGTCATTGAACAACGGACTTTGTGGGTAAAAGTGGCTTACAAACCCATTATATGGCCTTCCATGAATATTGAAGGTGAAGTACATGGGATAGCTGAGAAGTAACCGGACAAAAGTCATGAACAAGTTGCCGAGTGGGTTGTTGAGAACTTCAGAATACAAGGTATCAGCCTTCCTTTTAGGGATCCATACCTCATCGTATTCCATTGAATTGGTGTGAGCATGGTGGCTACGGTGACTGTATTTGAAAGAGAAGTATGGAGTGAGGAAAGAGGAATGGACGATGAAACCAAGTATGTCATCAAGCCATTGATATTCGCTAAAGCTATGGTGGCCCAAATCATGACCTATACTCCATATACCCATAAAACTACTACCTTGGCAGAACCAATAAACCGGCCATGCTATGTAGGCAAGGGGTTTAGGGAGAAGAGGAATGTAATTTGATGCGATCCGGTAAAACGTATAGCATATGCAAATATCACGGAAGAGGTAGTAGGAGGAGGTCGTAAGAGATCGCTTGAAGCAATGCGGGGGTATTGCTTTCTTGAGATCACTGATCTCGAATGGAGTTTTTTCTGTGGGAACACGTTTGAGAACATTTTTGTCCGTGGTAGCATCATTCATTCGGCCACCAGCTCCCATCTTGTTTACAAAGAAATAAACCTGCAAAATAAGAAATTTATCAGGCTACCTTCAAAGGTACATCTGGAAGTACAGATAGTTTGGAACACAAAGACCCTATTAAATACATACCTCTAAGAAGTAATGAGGTTTGCTGCTGGATTGCCTTGAAGCTGTGGAACCATTTATAGTTGGAGTTGGGCGCACATCCTTTCATAGTTTAATTAAACATGAGTTTATTATTGTAATAATAATTACAATGCAGGGTCGTGAAAGGTGGGCTGCATGGGGCTTTGGATCCCAACAAAACATACATAGAAAATGGAGGGTCCTCTGAGGTGTTGAGTGCTGACTCATGTTACGACAAAATGTCAGTTGTTGGAAAATGTTAAAAGCGGAGTAGGTTTAGGACACACATTTCTAATTAATACATAGATACCCACTTCTACTATGACTCAACAACTATGGAGTCAAAATCGTTTAATTATAAATTAAACATTTTACATATACAAATATATATATATATATATATATAATATTGAATATAGGAAAATAAAATCAAACGCTCTCAAATTTCAATCACTGTTGTTATCATTATTGTTGAATTTTACTATTTGACAACTGTTGTCTTTTTGACATTATGCGATGATGGTTGAATTTTGCAAACCATTATTGACGCAGACGCTTGCTAACCTTTTGTCAATTTATGGTATTTGTGTTTATGAGAATGATTATTTTTATATTTTTTGTAAAGTATTGCTTTACAACGAGAAGTTAAATATGATATATAGCTACAACTTTATATTAAAAACAAATTACACTTAAAAGATGTGTGTATCAATAACAGAAAGAAATGTTCATTTTTTTGGTATTTTATATTCATTTTGATCGATAAGTAATAGATCTTGTAATTATTAATGATGTTGATGTCAAGATATATTATATATACTATAATTACTGGTTATGTGAAAAAAATATCGCATCAAAATGATCAAACGATTTCATGTATTAAGGTTGAAATACTGTTTATCAGGTAAAATGTGTACATACAAAAAGAAGAATTGAAGTTAATTGGGAAAAATCAAGGTTACAATGAATTGGACTTGTTCAAAATTAGTTGTATTTTAGTTCATTTTCCTTTTCTGTTTTATAAAATAAAACAATATGCCAAGGAACTTTACAAGAATATCAAACTTAACTATTGGTTAAATGCATATTCAAATATGTTTAGTCTTTCTTTTCACTACTAGAAAACAGAGTATCAACGACGAAAACTGGCGACATAAAAAAATCTCTTGCTATTCAGTGAAGGAATGGCCAAAAAAGGGCCAAAAACCAATTCTCTCGCTGAATGGCCAAAACCGGTTCCCTCACTGATTATTTAATGTTAAGTTTTTCATGTTAGTTTCGGTTAATTTATATATATTTTAGAATAATTGCATTTATGATCCGTTCGCGTTCGACTGACTAAAAGTTTTTGTTCAGTTATAAGTCATCCTTATACAAAGATTTTGGTCGGTTCTTTGAGGAGAAATCAAATGAAGGGGAAGGAAAAGGGCAAAACGGATTTTAGAATAATTGTATTTTGGACTCGTTGAGGAATTCATTGAGTCCAAAAATGATCAAGGCATTAGTGTGCACCCAAAGTTGGTTGAAAAGGGATTCAAACAAAGGAGTGTTTGAATGAAACACAATCTTATGATTTCTTGGAAGAAGGTAATCACTAGATATTGTTTGGATTATTTTATCTATTTTCAAAAAAATAGTTAACTCTAGTTTGAATTGTATACATGACCAACCTCAAGGCCAAGAAAGCGAAAATATTGGGGTTGGGAAACGTCCAAAATTATTGTTGTTGATTGACGTATTATCATTTGGTTTAAACAATTTTATTGTAATACCTAATATTTGATGAAACTTGCATATTATCTTGAATGGTTGGTCGTATTTCAAATGAAGGTTTTCTTTATTTTTATGTGATTTTACATTGTTTAAACACAACCGGAACAGGTTGGGTTGGGTTAGGTTGAAAGTTTTCAAACCTCCAACATTAAATTGAGTTGTTAAAATGTCTCCAAACCCATCAATTCAACCCATTAACACCCCTAGTTGTCGGACATATCACCATATGAGCTTACAATTAATGGAAGACATAATTTGGTCCTCCTCAAGCCATGCAGGAACAATATAAACAGAAAATTACAACCCTGAATTGCTGGCTGGTCGTGGGTTGATCAATTCAACGTTGCAAAAAAAATATAGAATTTTTTACTCATCTGTTGTACAACCATATATAATCCTTGCCATAGAGAGGATGAAAATCGAACATGATATAGGAGCCATGGTTTGACCGTAGATGGAGTCAAGGTAGGGTGGTCATATGGCTAGAGATGGAGGCAAAGGCGACGTAGGATATCGGATTTAGGTTAGCTTCATATGGGCGTATATGGAGACATTTTTTTTCTGTTTCTTTCTTCCGTAATTTTACCGGCTAATTAGGTTGCCGGTCAATGTTTTAAGTAATCATAAACTTATTACCTTTTCAAGATTAATTGAAGGTTATGTTTATTATTTACTAGAAGCGTACTCGTGCAATGCAGCGAGATACATCGTGATTTTAATATTTCATTTTATTCTTTATCTCAGTCGATGTTATAATATGATTTTATGTGATTTTGAGAAATTGATGATGTTTTTATTTTTGAATAAAATATATGTTTGAAGATATCAATAAAATTTGACAAAAATATATCGATATTAGTAT